ACTCCCAAATTTACACATCTAACTACAGTCACTCTCCAGAGGGCCAGTCCTTCATCATCAACTGCTTTTTGGATATCTTGAATGGGGATGTCCACAGGCATCTCAAAATGAATATGCTCAAACAAAACTCATTCCTCTTCTGAGCTTCCTTATTTCTTTCGAGGGCAGCAATCTCATTCCAGGCTCTCATGTTTGAAATCTCAACTTCTCACTATCTCTTACCCTACATATAGAATTAGCTATCAAATCTTGCTATGTCTGTCTCTACAACACCTCTCCAAACTGTGCCTTGCCCATTATTCGCATATTCACCATCTAAATTCAGGCTCTCATCACCTCTTACCTGGAGTATTGCAAAAGACCTCTAATTAGTCTCACAGACCCAAATCTCTCCCCTACTCCAAAACATTCTCCATAAAGCTGCCAAAGTGATCTTGCATACATGCAGGTCTTACACTGTTACTACCCTCCTCAACAAATTCTAGTTGTTCCCTATCACCTTTAGGATTAAATATTAACTCTTCTCTTTGGCTTTTAAAGTCCTTCACAAGCTGGTCCGACTTCTCTTGCCAGCTTCATTAACCGATCTAGCCAAACTAGCCTTCCTGCTGTTTTCCACATGACCCTCCTTCTACCATCCCTATGATAATGCACTGGCCATCCAGCATGCCTGGAATGTACTCTCTCCTCAGATTCACTTGAGCTGAATCTTGAAAGAAGAAAGAAATCCCTTCCTTCTTTCAAGATTCAGCTCAAGGGCCACCTCCACATGAAACCTTTTCCGATTCCCCAGCCGCTACTGGCATTCCTCCCTAAACTACGTTTGATGATTCTATATATACTTCTATACATACATGTTGCCCTCCCCACTAATGTAAGCTCCTTGAGGGCAGAGGTTGTTTCACTTTTGCCTTGTATCCCTAGCACCTAGCACAGTACTTGGTACACAGCAGGCACTTAATAAACGTTTGTCATTTTTTAGTGCATAATAATTCATTATATTCGTATATTCAAATACCATAATTTATTCCACTATTGTCCAATGAATGGGCACTCACCTTGTGTCTGGTTCCATGCTATCACAAAAAAGTGTTGCTATAAGTATTTTGGTACATATTGGATCTTTTAGTCTTTGACCTCCTTGGGGTATATGTCCAGTAATAAAATTTCTGCATCAATAGTATCCTTGAATAATTCCAAATTGTTTTCCAGAATGGCTGCATTCACACTTCTCACAGTCCTCCAACATGGACTGTTTCCCTTTTCATCTCTATCAATTTATCAGGTGTGACACAAAACCTCAGAGGTGTTTTAATTTGCATTTCTCTGTAATGATTTCGTGAATGTTGAAGAGTGCAATTTTTCTTTTGAAAATTATTTGAGCTTTAATTTCATGTCCCATCCAGCCAATCATTTAAGTCATCTCACCATCTGCCTGCCACCACCCCACCTAGAACAAGACCCCCACACACTGGACCTAAGACCTGGACTAGGTCATTCAGAATGCATGACCCAATCCCTAGGGAAGTTAATCCCCTCATTGCAAATCAGGCCACTTTCTCTACATGCTGGTTCTATACACTGGGGCATGCTTTAGTTTCATATTCATAGCCCATTAAGCTAACCCCCCAGACTATCTCACCATCTGCCCCTCACTTCCAACTTTCCACTTCCTCAAAACAATAGTTGTTATCCTCTATTAGAATGTAAGCACCTTGAAGGCAGGGACTTTGTCTCTATTTTTAAAAATATTTATCCTCAACCCTTACCATAGTTCTTGGAATATAGTATGTACTTGATAAAATATTGTTTCACTCTTTCATATACTTTTGACTGGGGAATGGCTCTTGGTCTTATATATGTGTCAACTGACTAGTGCTTAGATGTCAGGATTATCAGTGATCTTTAATATAAACATTTTTTCCTCTTTCTTTTTTATTCTACTTTCTCTTTTTAATCCAGTACCAATTATTTTTGGAGTATGTGCAAAAGCTCTTTAATTTTATGCAATCAAAATTTTATGTCTTTTATGATCAAAGCCCCCAATTCTTCAGATGAAGGGCAAACATCTCATAAGATAGTATACTATACAGAGCTTCATTGACAAAGATCTGGATGCGGGGTCCTAGATTATAATAGGTCAGTTTCAATTTAGTCAGAAGATTACAGAACCTTGGACTGGGACAGGCTACCTGTGCTAGCCTAGACTAGCAGGCATCATGCTGAGAAGCAGTACCCTAAAAAAGAATGAAATTTAGAAAAGAAATATCTATAATGTAAGTAAACATTGCTCACTTACTGAGTATCTCCCTGACGGATCATGTCACAGATCTGAAGGATAGACTCCCAATCTGTCTCTAGCAGGAGCTGACTGGTAGCTTTGTCTGCAAGGAAAAAATGTACCCATTAAATGAACTCACTCTAATTTACTGGGACTTAATCAAGTACCAGATCATTTATCTCAACTAAAGCTAGTCACAAAATCAGAAAATTCATTCTGACTTATTTTAATAATTTTTAACAACTTCAACAAAGGTCCAAATATTACAACAGTCCAAAAAAATGGAGAAAGTACTATTCCCCATTTCACAGAGAAAAAAATGTACAAAGGGTAAGGAAATAATTTGCTCAAGGAAGATAATTTAGTAATCTTAACCCTTTGGGCTATTAGGTGTCTAATTTACTCAATTAGGATATAAGTGCCCTTAAGACCATAAGAAATGATATAGCAAATTCTTGATTGTTTATCTAAAGCAGTCTTTGTGAATGGCACAGACATTAATCTCACATTATGTGATTCATAACCTAATATTTCTATTTCATTTAAAATACTGGTTCAAGGAGCAACAATAATGCCTTTCTGCTTTTGGAGAGTATCATTTTTTTCTAGGGCTACATAAGGTAACATAACAAACCTTTTTCACTTTCAATATTGACTAAGTAGTTAACACGTAAGGTACATTTTGAAAGATGGAAAATGCTGGTCAGCCAGTTAAGAGCAGAATCACTTTAAAAGGTTCATATAACTTGCTAGCCCCTCCATTGTTTTCTTGATACAATTTAGCTTATATATGTGAGTACTAAGAAAGGTGTATAATTGCCCCTAAAAAGGTATGCAAAACAAAAGAAATAACTGTCATGTGGCTGTTGGTTAGAAGCAATTAACTCTACCAAAAAAAAGATCTCTCTCTCTAAGCAGGATATACCACATCGTTTACTAGGATCATAGGAACAAAATCTTTGAGCTAGGTTATTTTGAGCTCAGATATTATATAGTCCAACCACTTCATTTTTAACAGATGAGGAAACTGAGGCCCAGAGAGGTTAAGTAACTTGCCCAAGGTCACACAGGTAGTATCAGAACTAGGATCTGAACCCAGGTCCTCTAACTCTCCAAATCCAATGTTTGTTTTTTTACTTTATCCACAGCTGAACCATTCTCTAAGAAAACACACACATACAAACACAAATACATGCACACACCCCATTCTTGCACCTGAAAACTTAAAATTGTGTGCTCCTAAATTATAAAGCAAATGGGCTAAATTGAATTCCTCTTATTCAAAGGAAGGAAATATCTCTCTCCCTTCATTTAGGTGAGAGGTCGGAAGGTTTCCTGGGATTGTACTCCCTGTCTGTTATGCAAAGGTTAGGGAGGGCTCAGACTAAAAAGGTTATTTTGTTTTCCGAAGATGGCGGCACTAGAGAGCCCTGGCAGATCCCAGGAAGAAAACTGGTTCCACTGCTTGGAAGGACCAGAACTAAGAATTTCATCATAATCTAGACCTCTAGTGCAAACTATATTTTCCTGTGAAACAATATTCTTCGTATCTGACTTACTCACCAACCCTTGTGATGAAGGACTTCTGACTCCAGGTCCAACCTGTCCAACATGTCAGATGCTAGTTCTTTAAGTAAGGGGGCTATTTTTCCTGAGGGACATGTGTAAACTACCTAAGAGGGAGGGGCAGAATCGCTAAATCATCAATACTAGTACTTCCTTCTTTTGAGTGCCCACTTACAGCCACATTTTCCTAAATTTCTGGCAATTAATTCTCACAAGACTCCTAACAATAATTGATGCTTTAAAGGTACCCATGTGAAACTGATCCTAAAGAGCACATACATGCCTTACCAAATTCCAAAGGAGGAAAATTAGGGAAGAGGCTAAGGTCCCTGCAAGAGGAGACGAGAGAAAACGAGGGGTCCTCAGTCCTTCCATGCCAATCCCCAACACTGCCTGGCGGCACTGACGCCGCCGCCCCCTCCAGCACCTCGGGGACCAGCCCAGGGGCCAGGGGGAAGAAAGGCGGAGGGTAGAGGCTGGCAGTGGATAGGGGTGGGTGTGGGGTGTCGGGGGATAATAGAGAACGCCAAGGGAAGGAGGGGGGAGGGCCGCCCCCACCCCACGCGTGACCCCACCCTCCGGTGTTTCCACCTCCCCCCAGGGGCCCGACTGACTCAGCGCCCCGGGGTCGAAGAAAGCTGGAAGAGCCGCCGGGGCGCGAGGGCCCCTAGACGGTACGAGGCAGGCCGGGCCGGCCCCAGATCGGCGCTGGAGGTGAAGGAGGTGGGGGAGGCTGTCTGTAGGGGGCACGTTACCTAGGAGACGCTCGAAGGTGCCGCTACCTCTCCCCATGGCGACCTCAGACCCAACCCCGCAGCCACAGACACTCTCCCAACTCGGAGCAGGCGCGCCCCCCGGCTTCCGCTTCCGCCTTGGCCTGTTTCCAGGAGCGCGCACGTCACGGAGAGAGTTGACCGACAGACAGACCGACGGCGACAGGACCGCGGCGAAGACGCTGGAATCTCAGGAATAGAAGCTTCCGGGGATCGAGGAGCGAGGCGGAGTCGTTCTACCGAAGCGAAACGAGAAGCTCGCCGATTGGTCACCCCGCCACGATGGTCGGTGGTGAGAACCAATTAGCGGTCGGAAGAGAGAAACGATCGTCCAATAAGAGTGTTCGGGGAGGGGCGGGGGTGTAGGGTATTTTGTCACTACGGCGACCCGGGTGGGCCGAGACATCCGGTACAGGGATGTGTCTCCTTTTGGGTGCAACTGGAGTCGGGAAGACTCTGCTGGTGAAACGGCTGCAGAATATCCTTACCGAGCGGCAGGGATGGAGGGAGGAGAGGAGCCAAAGATGAGCCAGGGCTCGGGCGATACCCCGGACCCCCGTGGGGCCTCGGGGTGTCTCCGCCGCCCTCCCCTCCCAGCTCCGCCCTCTCTATTCTTCCTTAATTCGACCCGCACAGCTGAACTCCCGGGACGGGAAAAGTGACCTTGGTGACCCACCCCCCACCCAGCCCACGGTAGGTGGTCAGCCCACCTGGAAGGGACCTTACTTAGGTGGCGTGGTGGAAAGAGCGCTGGACCTGGATCCAGGAAGATAGACCTGAGTTCCTATGTGACCTCAGATACTGACGAGCTGTGTGACCCTAGGCAAGTCACTTAAAAAAAAAACAACCTGTCTGCCTCAGTTTCGTCATTTCTAAAATGGGAATAATAACAGCACCTACCTCCCAAAGTGGTTGTGAGGATCAATGAATAAGGTACTTTGCACAATCCAAATGCCCCATGTTTTTATTAGAAATCATCAATCAACAAGGATTTATTAAGTACCTACTATTTGTCAAGCCCTTTGCTATACACTGGTAATAAAAATACAAGGAATAAAACAATCCCTATTGACAAGAAGCTCACCTATTAGGAGATATAACAAAAATACCTAGAGATATCCAGCCACATATTCACATATACATGTGTACTGATACCTATACATTTATGTTTATGTATATGTATACATGTGTTAATGAACATGTTTTGTGCACACCGATGTATCCTGTGCATACATGTGGGTATGCATATTATATCCACACCCAGAAATGTATCTTGTACCTATACATGCATACATATATATACATACACACGTAATGTATGTATACGTATACATACATGAATTTGTATCATGTATACATACACAAACTGTACTTACGCTTTGTGGGTATATATACATATATGTTTATGAATGTGTACTGTATATACGCATGTTTATGTTTAGTTGTGCCTATACATACATTTATATATATAGGCATATGCAGAATAAAAACAAAGTAGTTTGAGGAGTATGTGAGCAGTTGAGGAAATCAAGAAAGGTTTCATGTCCAAAGGCACCTAGGTGGAGCAAATCTAGGAAAATTTATCTTCCTGAGTTCAAATCTGGCCTGGGACACTTATTAGCTGTGTAACCCTGGGCAAGTCACTTAACCTTGTTTGTCTCAGTTCCTCATCTGTAAAATGAGCTAGAGAAGTAGCAAACCACTCCAGTATCTTTGCCAGGAAAATCCCAGATGGGGTCATGACTGAAAAACGACTGGACAACAGAAAGTGGTGCTTGAACTGAGTGTTGAAGGATTCTGTGAGGTGGAGGTGAGGAAGGAGTGTACTTTAGTCATAGGAACAGCCCATGGAGATCCACAGTGGAATGTGGTATGTGTGAAGAAGAGAAAAGGCCAGTTTAGCTGTTTTGCAGTGTGAGAGTAATGTCCAATGAGATTGGAAAGATAGGTTAGGGGCAGATTGTCAAGGACTTTAAAAGGTAAACTGATTAGCACAATGACCAATCTTGATTCCAGAGGAAAGATGATGAAGCAAGCTACCCACCTCCTGACAGAGAGGTAAATGGACTCAAGGTATAAAATTATATATATTTTGTGGACACAACCAATGTGGGAATTTGTTTTGCTTGACTGCACAAGTCAAAGTTTTGCTGCAAAGGTTTTGCTTATATTCTATTTTTTCAGTAGGGGTTGATGGAAAAGAATATAGATTTTTGTTAATTGAAAAAATAAAGTAATTGTTTTAAAAAGGTAAGCAGATTTTATCCTACAAGCAATAGGGAGCTACTGTAGTCCATTGAGTAGGAGAATAACAAGGTCAGATCGATCTGCTCTTAAGGAAAATCATTTTGGAGCAGTGTAGAGGATGAATTGAAATAGGGAGGGAGCTTGGAGGAAGAATACTAATTAAGAGGCTGTTTCAGTAATCTAGGCAGGAGGTGACAAGGGCATGAACTAAGATATAAGCTGTGTGAGTGAAAAGAAGCAGTTGGTTGTGAGAAATGTGAAAGTAAAAAAAAGGGAGTGGGGTGGGGCAAAATTTGGTGATTAATTGGATGTGGGGTATGAGGGAGAGTGAGGAGTTGAGGGTAACACCAAATTTATGAACCTAAAAGGCTGAAAGTATGATGTTGCCATATTTCCCATGTTGAAATTTGTAGAAGGGTGGGTTTGCTGGGAAAAAATGAGTTCTGATGGACAGGCTGAATTTGAGGTATCTCTGGGACATCCAGTTTGAATGTCAGCTAGGCAGTTGGTGATCAGGGACTAAAGCTCAGGGAAGCAAATAGGACTGGATTATAGTAACATTTACATAGCATGTTCTGTTGTGCCAGGCACTTTACAGAAATTGTCTCATTTGATCAAGTGTCTGAAGCCAGATTTGAATTCAGGCCTTCCTGTCTCTAGGTCCAGCACTCTGTTACACCATCTAACTGCCTCTGTCTTCATGGAGATGACAATTAAACCCATGGAAGCTGGTGAGGTTGCTGTGTGAGAGTGTACAAAGAGAGAAAAGTAGAGAACCTGGAACAGAAACTTAAGGACACTCACAGGGAGCATGATGAGGATGATGAGCTAGCAAAGGTCATTGAAGTGCTCAGGGGACAGGAACCATGTCTGTTTAGTTTCCGTCCTAGTGTCACATGGAGTCGAACAATTGAAAATCATTTGCTTCCCCCCTCCCCGTTTGCACTGAGGGTTTTCTTTTCCTTCCACAGGTGGGTACTGATCTCACTGACATCATGGCCCAGAGAAAGATGACTATCCGGGAGCTTGGGGGATGCATGGGCCCTATCTGGTCCAGTTACTATGGAGATTGCCGCTCTGTGCTGGTGGGTCACAGTCTGTTAGACTTCTTTTAGGGAAGTGTGTCCTCTTTCTGGTTTCATCTTCAGTCCTATATGGAATGGAATTTGATCCTTTGGTGACTCTGATTTACACTACAAAGTCTTTGTTAAACTTTCCTTCTCCTGGAAAAATATTATTTTTTCAGTGTTTCAAAAAGATTTAGGGCTCAGACTATGCATGTGTGTATATGTCTATGTCTCTCTCTGTGTGTATGTATATGTAAATGTATCAAGAAAGTGAGAAGCTGCATATCTTAGAGAAAGGGAAGACTTAGGTAGTCCTGCTTGTAACACAGCAATTCTCACACTTTTTAATCTCAGGGTCCTTTTACACTCTTAAAAATTAGTGAGAAGCACACCCCCCAACACACCAAAGAACTTTTGTTTTGTGGGTTATATTTATCAGTGTTAACTATGTTAGAAATTAGAATGTCTTAGTATTTTTTATCTCATTGATCCCCTGAAAGGTTCTTGGGAATCCCCAGGAGTCCCCAAACCACACCTCTCAGTATCCCAGGCAATTCTGTAAGACTCGAAGTTACAGGTGAGCTGCACATCTTTATGGTAAAAGGAGTTTATGTACTTAAGATTGTTCCACACAGATGAAATCATAGGTCTGAACTTTTTCTTTTAAAAAAGAAAAAAAAAGGGTTATTGTGACCAGAGTAGAATATTTGGCTCTGTTGACCTAGAATCTGTAAACTTGTTTTTTTTTCTTTTTTTTAATTAATTTATTTTGATTTATCACCAATCACTTCCATAAGCTTTTGAGTTTTAAATTTTTCTCCCCTCCCTCCTTACCTCCCTCCCCAAGATGGCACACAATCTAATATAGGCTATACATATACATTCTTATTAAACATATTTTCACATTAGTGATGGTGTAAGTAAGAATTAAAATTAATAGGAGGAACCACCAGAAAGAGGGAACAGAACACAAAAGAAGAAAAAAATAGCAAATAGTATGCTTTGATCTGCATTCAAACCCCATACTTCTTTCTTTGGATGTGGATAGCATTTTCCATCATGAGGCTTTTGGAGATGTCTTAGATCCTTGTATTGCTGAGAGGGGTTAAATCTATCAAAGTCAGTCATCATTCAATGTGACTGTTACTTTGTATAACATTCTTCTGGTTCTGCTCACTTCACTCAGCATCAAACCATACAAGTCTTTCCAGGTTTATCTGAAGTCTGCCTGTTCATCATTTCTTATAGCACAGTAGTATTCCATTACATTCATATATCACATTCACAATTATGATTATTTTCTGTGGCTTTCTCTTCATCCTCCCCCCGCCCCATTTATGTTTCTCCTTTCTCCTTTTCCCTCCTCACTAATGTTTTGCTTTTGACCACTGCCTCCCTCAGTCCCACCTCTCTTCTATTAGCCACCTCCCTTTTCTTTCCCCTTTTCCCTCCTACTACCTATAGGGCATGTTAGATTTCTATACCTAACTGATTATGTTATTCCCTTCTTAAGCCAAATCTGATGAGAGTAAAGTTCAAGCAATGCTCATCTCCCTCCCTTCTTTCCCTTTGCTGTAATAGGTTTTTGTGCCTTTTCCCCTATTGTAATTTACTCTTGTCTGACTCCTCCTTTCCTTTTCTCTCAGTACATTTTCTTAGATCAGATCAATTCACTTACTTGGATCCATTTAATCTACTTGATTAGATTTTTTCATCATTACATCAAAGTCAATTCATACCCACCTCCTTTATGTATACCCCTTTTACTTTTTTTAATATTTAATATTTGATATAATTTCTTTACTTTGTAATCCTATGCATTTTATGTTATGTGTTTAAGAACATTATTCTGAGAAGGGGTCCATAGGCTTACCAACCTGACGTAGGGTTCCATGACCCAAAAAAAAGGTTAAAAATCCTGATGAGAGCATCATCAAACCTTTATCACTGCCTTTGTTCAGCCATCTAGGCATGTGTATATTTGGTGTTCGAATCACAGAACGAAGCCAGCCTGAAGAAGTGCTATCTGTGATGGAAATCCAAGGAGACTTTCCTTGAAACCCAGAGAGTTCTTCAAAGCAAAGAAGCTTCCTGGACCTCTGACCTTTTCTTTGACCTGTAGCTTTCTGCCTTGAATTATTGCAAGCCCACGTCTGCTTCTTCAGGACTGGCAGAGGCCCCATGGTCCCCTGAACTTGGGTATTCTTGACACTAACAGGTTCTCTGTCTTCTCTAGTTCATGATTGATGCTTCTGACCCCACCCAGCTTTCCTTATCCTGCAGTCAGCTCCTGGGCGTCCTTTCTGCAGAACAACTAGCTGATGCATCCGTCCTGATCCTCTTCAATAAGATGTAAGGATATTTGGGTGAAGAGAGAAGTTCAGGGCAGATTGCTGTTTGAGGAAGTGTGGGGTGGGGTTGTCATTGTAGATCAGATGCATTATTCTCAGGTGTTTGACTTTGTTTGTTTTGGCTGCAGTGATATGCCCTGTTACATGACCTTGGAGGAGATGAAGGCCCTAATCAGACTCCCAGATATCATTGCTTGTGCCACGCAGTGTATCACGACAGCAGAAATCAGTGCCCGGGATGGCACCGGTCTGGCAGCCGTCCTACAATGGCTCCAAGACACCCATAAAGCCAACAGCTGATTGAAGGCTGAAGAAGTAGAGGTGACAATCCTTTTTGAGACAGAAGAACAGAGAAGGCGTGGCCTGTAGGGCTTTGTCCTCAGGGCAGAAAGGCCCAGGCTGAACCACCAGAAGATGATTAGGGTGGGCCTCAGCTCAACTGACTGAGTTAGCAGGTATTAAGTGGAGGCTGTTTACAAGGCTTGAAAGTCTCTGGTAACTGAACTGCAAACTGAAGAGCTGACCACAGCACTGAAAGGATGTTTTGGACAGCTAGGTCACCCCTTGGAAAAGTCATTTAGTATTCCTAATGCTGCCTTTGGAAGATTATACTACTTCTCGGCCTTTGATTCTCCAGTGTAGTTTGCTGGCCTCTCTCTGGCCCTGATAAGGCAAACATCCCACCTCCATCCCTTTACCCCATCCCACCCCAGAAGCTGAAGCAGCATACAACCACCTGGATTTGGCTTATTGATAATTATCTGGGCTCTACTTTTCTATCCAAATGTCAGAGGCATATGGGATAGGTCTGCCGTCAGACAGGTGGTATAAATTTTCTTATGGGAATAAAGCCTAGATTTTTAAATGAAGCATGTATATTTATTTAGCATTTCATGGTTGACTGAGAATCACTGTATAATAAAACTCTTAATAATTCATATTCATATTATACTTTAAGGTTTACAAAGTGCTTTACATATCTGGGTACATACAAGCTCCTTCAGGATTGTTTTTATTATAGTATCCCTAATCCAACAAGTGGTTTGCACAGATAAAATGCTTAATACTATTTTAAAAAAATTGAATGATAGCCCTATATTACTGTCCCTATTTTATATGTGAGGCAAACTGAAGTTCAGAAACATTAAATGATTTGTCCCAGTTTCATAGCTAGCAGTTGTCAGTATTTGAATACACTGACTTCAACTCCATTACTCTTTCTACTACAGCATGCCACCTATACAAACTTCCTCCTTTGTGGAAGACTTAAAATCTGTGTTTCTTAAAATTGGAAATACCGAAATCACAAGTCCTTCCTATCTTCCCTATACAAAAAAATCTCCCTATGTGTTCAGTGTTAGGAAATTTCTAATCTCATGAGGCAGTTCATTCAGTTGTTGGGACAGCTCTAACTATTAAGTATTATTAGTACCTCTTAAGTTGAACTCGTTAGAACTTTCACCTTCTGGTCCCAGGACTGCTTTCTGGAACTCTGTAAGATATCTGCACCCTTTCTCACAATATAGCACTTGAAAATATTTGAAGCACTTTAACATTCCTGCTACTTTGTCATCCCTCTTTTCCACTTAATCTTCTCATCTTAAAGTTAACTATCAGTAAAAGTACATTAATAAATATTTAAGTACCTACTATGTGCTAAGCACTGTGCTAAACTACTTTCAAAGTTATACATCCCTGAGGTCTTTGCTTTGACTTGATCATTCCTGGAGACTTCTTAGGCTAGATACATAATCCTTTTTGTATGTCAAATGTTATGGACCTGAGTCTGGTAATAAATTTTCTCTGAATTTTTCCTGCCATCTATTGGAAGAGTCAAATTTCTTGAGCATTGAAAGGATTTGAGGCATTCCTCAGATCTGTTTCTGCTTCAGTTTGCTCAGAAGCAATTTGCTCGTGGACTTTGCCTCTGTATTATTTCCATATGTCCATTCTACTGAAGATAATCTTTATCAAATGGCAGATGATAAATGATACTAGGAAGTATTTCCTGGCATTCCGTACAAGGTGATACATACATATTGCAAGATCATCCAGATTGAACAGTAAGCTTTGCTGTACACCCTATCAGGAAGGGTCTTGGCAGGAAGGATCATGGTGTCACTGTTGGGTGTCACGCCTGTGAACAAGCAACGCTAATCATAATGCACATTTATTGTTTGTTGTTCATCCTTCCTTCTAAAAGAGAACCAATGACATCAGGAGGGTGATGACTTGCAAATGAATTGGACTTAAGTGAGGCAGGGTTATGCAAAATCATCTGCTTCACTCTCTCCTCCAGTCATCGGGAGTCCAGTGGCAAGACATAGGTCAAAACGACTGGGGATGGCCCTGGATGTAGTGGGAGACCTTAGCCTTTTTAAGCTAAGGTCTTTCCCAAGTCTCATTTTGTCCGAGGCAACACCCATTCAATAAACAAAAGGATAGGTAAGAATTGAAACAAAAGATGGCTTAATTTGCCCTCATAAAAGAATCAATCAGTCACACCTCTTACATGCCAATGAGGAAGTACTGGCTCTTAGGCTTGTGGATAGGGGCTTTGTAGAAACTCATAAGTCAACTAGGTGGCACATGGATAGAGTGCCAGACCTGGGTTCAGGAAGACTCATCTTCTTGAGTGCAAATCTGGCTTCAGACACTAGTTATGTGACCCTGGGGCAAATCACTTAACCCTGTTTGCTTCTGTTTCCTCATCTATAAAATGAGCTGGAGAAGGAAATGGCAAACCATTTCAGTATCTTTGCCAAGAAAACCCCAAATGGGGTCACAGAGTCAGACAACTGAACAACAAGAAACTCTCAATGGACAGCAAAGTAGTTTTCAGGAAGTTTCTAATTCTAGAACAGTTCAGAGTATTTCTCTGAATACTAGAGAAACATCAAGTATATTGTCCTTCCCTGCAAGCTAAGCATTAAGGTAAATGAAGTTAGGCAATCTGAGAGCTCAATCAGTCTTCAGTAAGCAAAGTTCACGCTGCCCCTTCTCCTGTTTCATGGTCTGGCCTGATTTGATCATTCTTTGGTGCTTCATTGCAACTATTCTTTGTCAAAGTCTTGGACTCAGTCAGAAGGCTGCACCCAAGGACCTAGAAGGTCACATGTGGCCTCGAGGTCACAGGTTCCCTACCCCTGGATAGGGTATGTCGAGAAGGAACACAGATTCAAGAAGGGTGGACTAAGTTATCTGGTTGAGTATACAGTTTCATATTCTGCAAATGGAGCTGGGCAATTTTTCTTAATTTAGAATATGTATCTTCCTCAAAGAAATTCTCAGGTTGAACAAGATAGTCTAATATGTCCAAGAAGAATATGGAATATAGTACCTGCAGTAAAGAAATGCATTGAGCCATTTAACTATAACCAGCAGCCCATAGCTTAGGGATAGAGATGGGTGTCAGAAAGACTGTTTGCCTCAAGATGTCTGTGGTTATTCCTTTATAAACTCACTTTATCAGTGATAATGAGGTGATACAATAATAATTAAGGTAAGTGAATTTCATTATTAAGTGAAATATTTAAAATTTGTGAAACCTATGATCTTGTAACAAAAAACCTATTTGTGCAGGTACTTATTTTCAGAGGCTTCAAAATTCCCAAGTCCCATCAATACTTTCACTGTCTTGTCAATTCTAGTACCACAATATAGCTCATCATTCTTTCCTTTCCCACTGTAACCACCCAATGCAAACTTTAATCTCATTTTACCTAGATACTATACCACTATAATAGCATCCTGATTGGTTTTCTTGTGTCTGTTCTGTCCCTTTTCTAATCCATACTTCATGTATCCATCCTTAACGTACCACTCAACACATTAAAAATGTGATATTTAAAAATCCTTAATGGCTCTCTGTTGTCTATTGGATAATTGATAATTGGGTTGACTAGCAATCGAGGTCCTAAATAATCTGACTGCAATTTACCTATCTGCCATTTTTATCCTGCTCTGACTGCAGTGACCCACACTTCCCTCTCCATACCTAGTAAAGTCCTTGAGTAAGAATGAATCTTACTAGGAATGGTTGACTAAGATTAGAGTCCTTTGTGTTTTATCTATCTTTGTATTTGTAGCACCTAGCAGGCAAGTCAATCTGTTTGCTGTCCTCTCAATTTGCTCATTTCTGCTTTTATATCTTTTCTCATGCCATTCTTCTACTTAGAACGTGCTGCACCCTTCTGATAACCCACGTTCATCACTGACTTCAAGACTGATCTTCTCCAAGAAGCTTTCTTTAAATTAATTTCAACCTACGCTCATTACTTCTTTATCCTCAGCATTTAATCATATATATATTAGATCATTTTGAACTTATTCTATTGTTTTATAATTATTCTCTTATCTTTCAAAGATATATCCCTTATTTAAAACTAGATGATAAATTCCTTTAGGGCAGGGATTTTCTGTTTGATCTGCCAGTAAATCTCTGTATGGTAAGTACTCAATAAATGTTAATTTAACTTCAGTAATTCCATAAAAAATGCATTCTGCTTAGGCAAGTGGACAATTAAAGATGTGAACAACTTCACTGATTTCATCATCATCTCCCAACCCTCATTTTAGCCAATTGTTTCAAATTCCTTCAAGGCTGTTTTTGAGCTGCTAACAGAAAGTAAAATTGGAATATTTGTTTCATCTCCTTTCATTTCCTTAACACAGGCTCTGATGGAATTTCCAATAGCTAGGAAATATCCAAAGGCAGGCAAGAAGAGGACAAGAAATAAAACACTTCATTGAATCAATCAATAATATTCTTTAGGTACTGTGCTAAGCTCTAGGGGTATAAAAAGAGGCTAAAAATAGCCCTGCCCTCAAGGAGCTTACCTGTCTAATGAAGGAAACAATATACAAACAAATATCTGCAAACCATATACACATGATAAATTGGAAATAATTAACAGAAGTGACTAGAATTAAGATGGATTAGGAAAGGCTTCCTATTCAAGGTGGGATGTTGTTTATTGTTTCAGTCTTGTCTAACTCTCCTATTTGGAGTCTTCTTGGCGAAGATACTGGAGTGGTTTACCATTTCCAGATGAGGAACTAAGGCAAACAGGGTTAAGTGACTTGCCCCAGGTCACATAGCTGGGAAGTATCTGTTTTTGTTTTTGGGCTAGGCAATGGGGTTAAGTGACTTGTCCAGGATCACACAGCTAGTAAGTGTTATGTGTCTGAGGCCAGATTTGGACTCAGGTCCTCCTGAATCCAGGGCCTGGATTCAGGCCCGGGCCCTGAGGCCAGATTTGAACTCAAAAAGTTGAGCCTTCCTCACTCCAGGCTCAGCACTCTCTCCACTGCGCCACCTAGTTACTTAGAAGGTAGGGTATTAGTTGGGACTTAAAGGAAGCAAGGGAGGTCAGTAATTGGAGCAGAAGAGAGAGAGAGAGAGAGAGTTCAAGCATAGGGAACAGTCAAAGAAAATGTCTGGAGCCAAGAGATGGAATTTCTTACTCACTGAACAACCAGAAGTCACTGAATTGAAGAGTACTTGTTGGGGAGTAAGAGAACTAGAAAGGTAGGAAGAGGGTAGGTTATAAAGGGCTTTGAACACCAAACGGAGCATTTTGTATTTGATTCTGGACATGAGTTTATTGAGTAAGGAGTGACATGATCTGACCTGTATTTTAGGAATGGCTGAATGGAGGATGGATAGGAAGGGGAGAGAATTGGGGCAGGCAGACCTACCAGCAGGCTGTTACAATAGCCCAGGTGTGAGATGATAGGGGCCTGCATAGAGTGGTGGCAGTGTCAGAGAAGAGATAGGGGCATATTCAGGAGATGTTGCAAAGGTGAAATCAATAGGATAGCAACAGATTGGATATGGGAGGTGAGAGATAGGAGTCAAAGATGATGCCTACATTGTGAACCTAAGAGACTGGGAGGATGGTGTTGCTTCGACAGTAATAAGGAAGTTGAGGATATGGGGGAAGAAGAGGAGAGAGTGGCCAGTGCAGAGGAGATGGCCTGGGAGAGAATTGAGGGGTCAAGGGATGGGAGGTCAGAGTGCAAATGAAGAGTAGGGTTATGAAAGGGAAGGCAGAGGGAGAGGTGAAAAACCAATAGATCATGGTTGGATAAAGAGATTTCAGAATTCTTGGAAATGAAAGTGGTACTATTGATTAAAGAAATGCAAATTAAAACAACTCTCAGGTACTACTTCACACCTATGAGATTGGCTAATGTGACAGAATTAGAAAATGATAAATGCTGGAAGGGATGTGGAAAAATAGGGACATTAATGCATTGTTGGTAGAGTCGTGAACTGGTCCAACCGTTCTGGAGAGCACTTCGGAAATATGTCCAAAGGGCTGTAAAACTATGTGTACAAGGCAGCTATGGGGTGCAGTGGATAGAGCACAGGCCCTGGAGACAGGAAGACCTGAGTTCAAATCTGACCTCAGACACTTTACACTTTCTAGCTGTGTGACGCTAGGCAAGTCACTTAACCTTGATTACTTAAAAAAAAAATCTAAACCACAACAACTGTGCATACCCTTTGACCCAGCAATACCACTACTAGGTCTGTATCCCAAAGAGATCAAAGAAAATGAAAAAGGATATATATGTATACGTGTGTGTATGTGTATATATGTATATGTAGATTTATAACAGTTCTTTTTGTGGTTGCAAGGAATTGGAAATTGAGGGCTGTTCATCAATTAGGGAATGGCTGAATGAGTTGTGGTATATGACTATAATGGATTACTATTGTGCTATAAGAAATTATGAGGGCAATGGTTTTGGAAAAACTCATATGAATTGATACAAAATGAAGTGAGCAGAACCTGAAGAACACTGTACACAGTAAC